CTATAGAAACGGATGAAACATATTATACTGACACTGACGACAATACTGACGAAGATTCCAATTATTCACCAAATGCAATGTCCTCATTGCCTTCAACGTATAGTACTAATAAACAGTCACAAATGAGACTCGAGTTACCAGCTCTAGCATTAGCGTGTGATAGAACAGGAATATCTGATAGAACTGCTGCTACTATTGCTAGTGCAATACTACAAGATGTTGGAATAATTAAAACTGATGATAAACAACATGTGATTGACAGAATGAAAATAAGGAGAGAGAGACATAAGAAACGTCAAGATCTTAAAATACAAACTGATAAGCAACCAAAAAGTCTATATTTTGATGGACGTAAAGACCACACTATTATAAATCAAAAAATAGATGACAAATATTATCGTAATAAAATAACAGAAGAACACATTACACTCATAGGAGAGCCAGGGTCTCGATTTATGGGACATTGTACTCCTGTAAATGGAACTGCTATAAGTATTAAAAACAGTATTATAAGTTATTTAAAAACGAACGACATATGTACTTCAAAATTGTTGGTGATTGGTTGTGATGGGACCGTCGTAAATACTGGTACTAAAGGGGGTGTAATTAGGCTAATAGAAGAGCAGCTAAATAAACCACTACAATGGGTTATTTGTCAGTTACACGCTAACGAACTACCTTTGCGTCATTTATTCCATAAGTACATGGCGGCACCTCAAAAAGTTGTCCTATGACCTCCAAAGTTTTTGTACTTTTTAATACTCTCGAAATACATAAAAAAATGTCTATTAAAAACCAAAAAAAAAATTTTTTTTTTTTTTAAATTGTTTCGTTCCACCCTAAATTACACGTGTTCAATGTAGTTTATTATAGGATATAATATACATAATATATAGGGACTTATACATTTTAAACCAAACAGTTGATTTTATTTATTTTATCTCAAAACGTCAAATATTTGTTTATATATATAATGTTTTGAAATCATGTAACTATAGTCATCCAGCTATCTATTAGCTGTATCGTTTAATGTCACAAATGTGCTTATGTATTAATATTTAGCACTTACGTCTAAAAAGTGACGAACGTTAAACGCACGCAAACATAATAATATATACCTACAATATATACCAATTATTATTTAGGTACAATGTACATGAGTACTTATGTACTCGTAGTTACCACGTGCCCTTACTGGGATTCAATCACCTTTTTTTACGTAAAAGTTTTACCACCAATTATATGTTTTTACGTTTACCTAACTATTAAAACCATAAATACACGGTGCACACAATAGTTAATTATATTTCAAAACATCAAACGTTTTACTTTATCTAATTTTATATTATTATTTTTTTTTTTACTGAATTTGCAACAAATGGTGTACACATTTCATAGTGATAATTAATATAAGCAACAATTAAATATATTAAAAAAAAGCAATTAAACTGTTTAGATTATATTATAATTATAGACATTATAATATGCATCATTGCTAGTACCGGGTAAACCGTTTAACGTCTAAGAGACTCATTATTTCAAAAAACTGAAAATGTCATTGAACATTTTTTTTTAATTATTTAACATTTTATTTAAAATATTTTTAAAAAACAAAATTTATTCAAAAAATTATATTTTTCTTATCATTATAAATATTTAAATATTAAATGAAAAAATGCATTTTCAACTATTTATTACGAAGCAAAAATTATTTTGAATACTTCATTACATAAAAATCGAATTTTGGACGAGTAGTTTATAAGTTATAAGTACTTAAAGCTGAGATGAGTGGAGTGCTAAAACAGCTGGGTACCCCGCAAAATGCTTGTCCACTACTTCACTAATCAAACACTTAAATATATGTAGGTAGTATAACTAATAAACTATAGTATACAAGTATACTTGTTCGAAATTTGATTTTTATGGATCGAAATACTTTGAACAATACTCTGCTTCGGAATGTGAAAAATTTATGTTGTCATTCAAAAGAGTAAAATACTTAAGAAGTATATAGCGATAAAAAATAGTAAAATATAATTTTTAGCAACCATTGTATTTGGGAGAGACTTAAAATTATATAAAAGAAACATTTTCAGAAACGTTAGTGTTATATGAAATGAGTGTCTTACGCGTTAACTGGATCATCCCTTATATGGTATATCCTGGTTAAGAGTAAAAGTGTAATTATTAATATTAATATACATTCATAAACCTCTGATATTATACATTTTACTTTTATATAATAATATGATTGTAAACTTGACAAAGGGATTTTTTTTCTCCAAGAAAGCTTTTACGATATTTCATTTACTCCGTTGTCAAAATTCTCATCGTCGGATACTGCAAACCATTGAAAACATTGTATATTTTTTTTCAATGGATCCACGCACTCGTTGGCCGAACAATTACGGAAACAGCTGGTCGAAGTCGTGTTTATAATAATGAGGCACATAATATAAAATATTTCGTCAACATCCGAAGTCTTATATTATTATACTATTTTATAAAAGCATCTCGTCGTTTTCGCGTGAAGTCTTATAATATTTAATATAAATAATAATAGGCACGTCGGCTTGGGTATTAAGCATTGTAATATAATAATAATAATAATAATACATAAACGCCTCGAATAGTCATCAATTCAACTGAATGAAAACGAATTCGATTATCGTCTTCGCCGTCGTCGACGACATTGTATAATATATAAAGTCAAAACGGGCGTCAAGGACCCTATTCGTCGTTGATCGAATCGCCGACCCGAGTGTTTTAAGAGTGGGGGGAGGGAGGTGGGTGAGAGACATTAATACGGTATTATGATTAAAGCCGATTGACTATAGGGGCGGATCGTGAGATTTAAAAAAATATGTGTTTACTTTGGACCGCTGTACCGAAGTTTGGGCAAACGTCAGTAATATTGTAATATATCATATATATTATATAATAATATATATATTGTATATTGTGTTCACCGCAGTAGTATGACCTACGAGTATGAAAACTATAGATATGTCTATATTATAATATATATTATTAATATTAATTATATGGTATATTCAGCTAATCGATGACATTCAAAACCCGCTATTATCGTTTTGAAAATCGTTTCTCGTGTGTTATTGCGGCGAGGGTGGTGTACGAAAATTAAACAACCATACAAACAAATCGTTCAAATAGACGCGTTTAGAATATAGGAAAAAAAACTTTTTAAAAAAAATTGCGCAGTATAGGCGGACTCGAGGCGGGCCCAGGGGAGCGTTGGCCCCGCCCCTCAATCAGCTATTAGCCGACCAATTTATTTTCAGTTAATTATTATCAGTGCAATTTTAGCATCTCCTTGAATATACGACGAAATAATAACGTGTTCAAAAGTAAAATCGGTAGAATCAAAGGGGGCTCTAGAATTTTAAATAGATGGATTTTGGTCATTTATAGGTCTTTAAAAAGGGAAGGGAATAATGAAAATCAAATTAATTATACACACGAGTGTGTCTACCATATTTTGAACAATATATGATAGAATTTATAATTTTATTAATTTACTTTAAAAGACAAAGTTTAGGTGTTTCACAGATTGATTGTGGGATGTGGGTGGTTGAAATCCCACAGACCACACTCTGCCCTACAGATAACGCTCGTAGATACAACACACGTCTTAACACGAAAATGACAGTATCTACCTAATAACTGCAGTTATATTTTTAGTCCAAAGTCGTATCAAAAGTAAAGTATATGACGATATAGGGTGGCGAATCTTTTAGATAATATTTTGTAAATCTCGAGGACGGGGGTAGTAATAATTCAACAATATTATATTCCGAGGCACGGCGGCGGGGCGAGCGCGTTTTCGTCCAAAGTTTTGGGCCGCGAGAGCGCCCGCGTGCACGTGTATCGAAAAAACCTATATAAGGTAATTGGGTGGTGTCGGTGGTGGTGGCGTATGTGAATGAGAGCGCGCGGCCAGAGGAGAGAGAGAGCGGGTTGGAGGGTTGGCGGTTTAAGGCGAGGCGTCACAAGGTGGCGGCAGCGGCGGTGTCAGCGGCGGCGGAGGTCGCGAGCGAGTATTACGCGGGTGTAGGTGGGTGACGAAGACGGGGTCTCATAGACGGCGCGGACGGAGGACCGGGTGTCGGGCGGCCCGTGCCGAATCAATACGACGCGTGCGGCGTACAACTATGCGCGACCGCCGCCGACCCCGCCACCACGTGCCGGACCATCACCGCCGCAACGCTCACGAGAGTGTTGGTGCGCGCCAAGCGGAATACCCGGGCGGCGGCGGCGGCATGGGGCGTCCCGTCGCCCAGCTGCCGGATCGCGCAAACAACCCTGGAGAAAGCTCTCCGGGACCACGGCGCGCACGGACAATCGCGCTCGCGGACGGACGGTCGCTCGCGCACATACACACCCGTACACACACACACACACACACACACCTATACACCCGCACATGTAATAATACGCACGCGCGTGCGAACACGCTTTTTCCTATTTTGCCGGTCCTTTTTATTCCACATCTACTGTCGCTGCTCCGCGGCGGCGTCTCTCTTTCAGCCGCTCGGGCGCGCGCGGTCTCTCTCGCGCTCTCTCGTGCCCTCGTCGTCTCCTTCTACCGCTCACCATCGTCCGCAAAGCGCACGGCGCGCGCGTCGCACTCTGCACCACGTATAGGTACGTCGCGTACGTGTGTATACGCGAGCCCGGCTCCGTGGGCATATCCCGGATAAAGTCGTCCGCCGCGCTTTTAAACAAGTATATTAATATTGTTGTTGTTGTTGTTGTTGTTGTAAGCATTTAACACGCCGATATAGGCGCACATTTACCGCGTGTCCCGTTTTAGTGATTTCGTGTACGTATTTCTCCGACCGACAAGCCCGGCCGTGTACGATCCCCGGGTCCGTCGGGAGAGGAGAAGGCGGCGGTCGGCCAACCCCCCCACCCACACACCTCTTGAGCACGCAGCTACGACAACCGCGACGACGACCGCGACGACGACGTTGCCGTATATGGTGCTCTGGCGACGGCCGTGCCAGATCGGTGGTTGGCCCGCGGGACGACCGCGACGACGCGCCGACAGCACCACAATCACCGCCCGTACCAGCCGCAGCGGCCACGGGCACGATGACGTGTGGCGGCCGGCGGCTATCGCCGTCGTACTACCGACACCACCGGCGCCGGTGCCGGCACACCGGCGACCCGCAGCACAGCCGCCGCGGTCTGAACCACCAGCACGATCACCGCAATCATCACCACTACCACCACAACTACTACCGTCACCACCACCACCGTCATCATCACCACCATCATCATCACCGCCAACACGACCGACACGGGCACGGCCAATCCCGGTTGCGGGCAGCCGTGGCCACCGATAGCCGCGCCCGACTGCCGTACCCGGCCGCCGACGCCGTGGCCCCGTCGGACGCGACGCCGCTGCCGTTGCCGGCCATGAGGCACGCACCCGCTGCCGCCCGCCGGCATTCTTCTTCTTCGTTGTCGTCGGCGGCGGCCGTCCGCCGCATGTCCGCGTGGCTGGTGGCCTGCGTCGCATTTTGGGCCCCATCGACACCCTGCACGCACGCCGCGTGAGTATACCGTTTTTGTTGTTCCGTTTCATCAACGTGCACTTATCAAAATATCGCAAAGATTATGTCGGTTAGGGGACATTGCAAAGGTAGTGGGGGGGGGGAAGGGGGCACTTTGGAATTTCGTACTTTTGACTGCGCCGAATCGTTTGTGCGCCAAGTCCCGTCGTTCGTGCACAAACGCTTTCCGAGATATCACAGAACAAAACGAGCAAGACCTATCATATTGTAGGTATGGGACCTTGTGAGCAACACCTTTCGCACTTAAAAACCGTACTGGTGAGGTGGCGGTGTACCTATATATATATATGGTTACACTCGCGCTGAGCAGAGTGCCTTTTCGGGGAGAGTCGTCTTATTCGAGTACCTCGCGCGAAGGGACTCGGTGGGGTTGGTGTACACAGATAATAATATAATAACAATAATATAATATAATAAACGCGATGAACAGCCACTATATAAACGACGCCACCGCTGTCGCGTCCTCGAGACGTAAAGAGCTCATTCGAGTCGGGACTTCGGTCGTATAGATATATAGATGTTAATAGCGAGGGTATGTCCTCGAAACGCGCCCTGCACACAATGCCCGGGACTCGAGTGTAACGCACCACTACACATAATATTATATTATAATATAGTATTGTTATCGCGTACAAAATATAATATTATTGTTATTGTCGTATATCCCCCTCCCCTACATCGTCCCCTCCTCATTACGGGATGAAAGGCCTAAACCACGAGCAGGAGACGTATATGTTTGGGCGGGACCGCGGTTTTTCACCACAGATGAGATAGATATAGGTGTACTTACTGTTTTCCTTGAAATTAAAAAAAACAGTAGGTTTTAATTTCTCTACACACATTTTTTTGTACTTTAATCACGTCTATTTCCTTCTAAAAAGTATCAAAATCGTATTCAAATTTTAATTGTTAAATCTATTTATTTCATATTATTTTTTATATACGAAATGATGACATAAACCATTCGAATTGTTTATATGGTACGTTATGCAATATATTATAGGCTGGTGATTAAAAAACGTACGATATTTTATAATTATATTTGTTATATTTAAATTGGAAGTTCATAGCCGTATCGTAGTAAAAAAATTATTTAAAAATGAATATTTCACTATTTTGATCACAATGATTTGTAATATTCTTTACTAGAAAATTATAGGTACCTATTCAAATGAATAAGAGGGTGGTAATTTCTTATTTTGATAACGGTGAAAATTCGGTGGTGGAGGAAAACGCAGTCTAGATTTGTATATTTTTAAGGAAAACAAACACTTGAGGATCACACTATCTCGTTTTTGAAGCAAAGTGGCCACCACGGATCTCGTGTCCACAATACTTTTCTTAGATTGATTAGCTGATAAGAGGTTTAGGCGTCGTTGTGTCGGAAATGCAAAAAGCGTTTGTGCTCAAACCGAGAACGTTGTCTATATCGATATTCCGAAACAGTAATTATTATCGATATTCCAGTACCTACTTATCTGGTGGGTTGTACGTTTTTTGTTTTACGGTACAAATCGTTCCAGAACGTTTCGTTTCGTGTGTACTTATGTTATACAAGTGGAACTTAAACGGGTGCGCGTGCGTTCTGTATAGGTAATAATATCGTGTGTTATTGACACGCGCGTCGTCGCATATTTAGGCGATTACAGTTCTCGCGACTGAGGTGTAGCTGAGGTGTCATGCAATAGGTATAGGTGCCTGGATTTATATTCTGCTCCGGTTCGACCTTCGTTTAAAAAATATTATTTCGATTGTCGTTATCGTTTCGATTTCCGTTTTCAATCGTACGTTGTGCATTTTTCTTTATAATATTATGTCGCCTCGACGATTTGCAGCGGTGTAGTCCAACGAGATTTGGGTACATTTTAATTTCGTTTTTAAGCATGTCGTCATCGTATATCGACGAAGGGCACATCCTGCAGACGAATAAACGCATTATATTGAGAATTCGATCGATGGACGTTTCTTTCAATTTTCATTTCATGAGTTTTATTTTCAAACAAACGACATTTTTGCATTCTCAGCAAAGTTTATTTTTATAACTTTCCCGTAAAAAACATTGAATTACATAAATGTTATATTTCATGATATGTTAACGACTATTTGTGCATATATTATTATATATAATATAGAATATTATACCGTTTGTTTACTGATAAAAAAACCCTCAATATTTCTGTTGGATTGTACTGATCGACACTTTTTTGACAAGCTATGGGCATCTTAGTACACGTTTAACAAGACACTTAAAATTATAAATCTCACAGTAGGCGACCGCATGTGCTGTACAACTTTTGTTATTTAAATATTCATACTAATCTTCGATACCATATTTGGGTACGCCAATTAAAAATCTACAGAACGAGACCTATTTAAAGTTTAATATGATGATTAGAATTTGCTATGTATTATAAATAACATTAAAAAAAAAATTAATCAAGAAGTTAAAAATCAAACAACTTCCTACATATTATTCAATAATTTGTATACCTCACCTATTGTAATACGAAGAATCCAATAAAAACGTTAAAAAGCAAACTAATATGAATGGATTTTAATTAACAATAATTAATATTAATGTAACAATAAAAGGACGTATCAATGATTTAATTTTAAATAGCTCTCATTAATATAATTTTGAATTTAGATTGAATTTAGATGTTAAGGATAAATTATATAAAATAATAGGCCTACCCAAATATATAGTATTGAAAATATTTTAAAATAAGGGAAATTGTATTTCGGGTGAGCGTATTGTGAGGTTAAATATTTTAAATATCTCTATAAATGTGCGTATATAAGTGCACCCTAGATTTTCAAAAAACTTAAGATTCAATCCAACGTAAGACGGCCAACATATCTAGTGCCTAAATCAATGAATAACTGGTATACCTGATACACGTACAGGTATATTACGTCAACCTACCGTTTACAATAAATTGAACAACACTTTTTGCAATAAAAACAAGAACGACTTGAATATATAATTTTACCACGTTCGTGTAAATATAATATTATAATATGCACATCGAGCTAAGCTCAGCAGGCACTCGTTTAACTTGACCCCGGGTGATTTCTAAGTTCATTATTCACATTTAACAAAATAAAGTATCCATCCAACGAATTATATCAGTTAAAAAATAACAATAATCAATCAATGAATAAAAATAATAAAACAGTAATCATACAATTATGTAAACATTTTGGTTCAGTATTATTTATTTGAATTTTTTTGTATTTACATCTTTATAAGCTAATATTTGTATTTAATCTTCTGTAATTGTTATTTCATTATATATACAATAATCGGTATTTTTTTAATAAATTTATAAGCTACTAAAGACTATATTCAATTATTAGTGTTGTAAAATATTTAAAAGAAAGCATAATCAATACAGTTTATTATTATATTTTTCTATAGATCCTGGCAAATGTCATTATTATCATTAAATATTTTCATACAAAATTAAATATTAGTTCATAAAATTATAAATATCAATTTGGAAACCACTTAACAAAAATTAACATAGTAATTCAGCTTTCTTGTTAATATTATTTCAAGGTAAGATTGAGGCAAAAATCAAGGGACTGGCACGCATGCGACTCGAGGTGTTTCGCCGATCTAAAAATTAGACTCTGGCCATTAGAACCATTGATATCGATAGCCAAAAAAAATTCACTTATGCCCAACTCTCCCACTAGTCGCAACTGCACTGCAGATTTCAACGTATTGGTTTCTGTTTGATATTTTTGAAAGTTATTATTCTATTGTTATAGAGATACATAATTATTATAAAAATATTTAATATTTTTTTTGGTTTACTTGAACTGAGGAAAAATACACTGTCTTATAAAATTAAATCGATTAGATTGGTGGTAACTGGTAGATGAGTATGAATAATACCCAATATTTCCAATGAAATAAATAATCATAATATCAGAAATAAAGTCTTATTTTTTATTATACATTATTTCCCAAACTTATGGCATGTTCACCTGTCAATATTTTAGTATCCGTCATAAATAAAATGAATAATGCAGAATTTGTTCAATGATACATGACGTATACGGTATTCGATATAAGTATAATATTCTTATTATTATATTCATTTAATCTTTATCATAATATATTAATTGTGTATAGAAAGATAATATGTTAGTAATTTAGTTTCTATCTCTGCCGTATCTATAATATTATCATATATTATATTCTGTTATCAATGATAAACTGTTTATTATTTTAAAATATAAATAATAATAATAGTAATAATGCAGAAGCTTATATATATACCGAGCAAAACTCTCGTATATTTTTGACAGTTTGAATCCGTCGCTCGTTCGATATAATAATATTATTATCGCTATAATATTATTCGAGTACCTACCTATATAATAATAATAATAATATAATGTTATTAAATAATATAATGTATGGTCGGAAAAGTCATCGAACACCACGCGCGCCGCACTCACACGTATTACACACTCTCTCTCTCGTACGTTCAGAGTAGAATGTCAGTGCCAGCAACAATGTTTTAACACTATATACTGTCAATCGATGCTCTTATTCCCGTCATTTCCATAACACTCTCACACACACCCACACTCTTTATTTGAAGTGCGGACTTTTCGAGTGTTTTCGCTCGTGCAGTAATGCTGTGTATTTATTTTTCGAACCGGAGAAATATCATCATACATAGTAATATTATCATACAGCTTTGTATATGTATTATACTATTATTATGTTCAATAATAATACGTGTTCGCGTGTGTGTGAGAATCGGTTTTTCGCAGTCGTATACAATATATTATTATATGTTATTATTATACATTTAGTGTGTGTGTATATATATCGATGAGAAAACGACGAGTACGTACAAAGTTTTAACTTTCGAGCAACACGTGTGCTATAGCCGCCCGAAACTCTTCCGATACATAAAACTACGCAAAATGTGTTGCAATATATATAATAATATTAT